TTTTTTTTTTTTTTTTTTGCATGTGACTATCCCTTTGTCCCAGCACATTTGTTGCAAAGGAATTTTTTTCCCTTTGGACTGCCTTGGCACTCTTGTTGAAAATCAATTAACCGATTATTTCTGGAGTCTCAGTTTCATTCCTGTTTATCTGTAATATATGTCTGTCCTTATATCAGTATCATATTGTCTTGCCAGATCCACATTATATTACAGTACAGTTATTTAAAATATTTTGAGGGCCGGGGATTTAGCTCAGTGGTGCCGGTGCCTGCCTTGCAAGCCCAAGGACCCGAGTCTGATCCCTGGTACCAAAAAAGTAAAATAAAATATTTTGAAAGTTGCATGGATGACTCTTCCAACTTCATTCTTGTCAAGATTACTTAGTCTATTTTGGGTTTCTTGCATTTGAGATTTAAGGATAGCATTGAATCTGTAGATCCATTTGGCGATTACTTTAACATTGGTCAAATTTTTAAATACTTTGGGAATAAACAAATCAAGGTGAGTTACAGATAAGCCATGTTTTGTAAATAGCTAATCTATACTTGTTAATACCTGATTTCAAATGAAATGGATATTATAATATGAAGCTTGAATCAGAGATTGTAAGTGGTCTAGTTTAAGGTGAATATATTCATATGTGAGTGGAATTTACCTTGGTAGGAGACAATAAAGGATAAAGGACACAGAATGTTGAAAGTAAAAGGATAAGGAAAGACATAGCAGGTAAATCCCACCCAGAAGAAAGGCAGTAGAGCTATATTAACATAAGCTAAAATGGATATTAAGATGGAAAACTTTCTTACACATGAAAAGAGTAACTACATAAGCTCCAAAAGCTTCAGTTCAGTAACAAGACAAAACAGTTCTAAAAGTGTCTTTTAAATATTTTCTAAACATGTACAGCTTAACATCCCCAATCAGAAATGCTCCAAAATCTGAAACTCTGAGCAACATGATGCTAAATTTTCTATATGACCTCACTTGACTGTTCACAGTCAAATGTAGGTACTTTAAACATAGTATATGAAATTACCTTCATGCTGTGTATTTTAGGTGTCTGTAAAACATAACTGAATTTTTTACTCAAGTCACAACTATAAAATATTTCATTACATAAAGTCACGCATCACGTAATGAAGATGTGACATTCTCAGAAATGCACCATTAGATCATTTCATTGTTGTTGGAAAATTATTGAGCGCACTTACACCATCCTCAGTAGTATAGCTAAATCACTTTACATGGTCTCTTGATGCCATCAACACGAGATGTGTGTGAGCCTGCTGCTGGTGTCATGTGGCATACTGTTGCACCTGAAACTTAATTTTTAATAAGTAGAAGCAGTACATGTTAAAATAATAAAAAGTATACTAAACATAAACCAGTAAGTCATTTATTATCAAGTTTTATGCCTTGTACATAATTGTATGTGCTGAGCCTTATACATTTGGCAGCACAATAGGTTTACTTCAACCAGCGTAATTACAAATAAGAGCAGTGTGTTACACCGTGACATTCTGCTAGCTACAGTGTCTCTAGGACATTGGTTTTTTACAGCTTCATTATAATCTTGTGGGACCACTGTCGCATTTGTGGTCTGCTGTTACCGGAACTTCATTATGCAGTACGTGGTTATATGTGCAGATATTTCATAATCTGAAAATGATCTCAAATCTAAAACCCTTCTGGCTCCAACATGTTGGATAAAAGATACTCAACCTGTAACACAAAGATTGATTATAACTACATGAAGAATCTATAAATCCACTGTCTTAGAAATTTCCATATACTTCTATTAATTATTAATATAGTAAACAGATGTTTAAAAACAAAAAGTAAAGAGGAGTGAATAAGATGATGAGTTTATCTTTTGATTGTATATAGAACCAAGCAGTGGCACTTAGAATACCTTCTCAAGCACACGTGGTATATTTGTAAAAATCGGTTCTATCATATATCATAAACAAGAGAACAAATTTCAAAAACTTGGCATCCCGCAGACTCTATTCATTGACCACACTGCAATTAAATTGAAAGTCAGTAGCAGAAAAGTTATGTAACAAATCCCCACGTGTTACAAATTCAGAAGTGTCAAAGAAGAAATCATAGATGTACTCTGATATGATGTATTAGAACTGAACGATAATGGAAAACTACCTGTCCAAACGTGGAGAACAATGAGCAGCAGTATTGACAGGGAAATGTACACATTTGCAAAGAATAAAGATGAGAATTAACACGCTACACGTCACACGTTTGACACTATAAAAACAATACTGTCATAAACCTAAATGAAGAAAGACCTAAAAAAGACAGGAGTAAAAATTAGAGAAATCAAAAATAAACCACAGTAGGGAACATCAAAGCAGACAACCTCTGGTGAAGCCAATCAAGAAAAGACAGAAGACATGGATAAATAATACAAGGAATGGAAAAGCAAACATAGGAAATGTAGATGCAGCATAGATGAGAAAAAGAATACTGTAACTTTTAGTAAAATTGAAAACCTGTACAAAAAGAACAAACTCCTATAGAAGCATGTAAAAAGTATAACGTGTAAAATTGAATCAAGAAGACAAAGCCTGAATAGTCTTGTAAGTATTAAAATAATTGATATAGTATTTAAAATTCTTCCCTGAAGGAAAACATAAAGTCAGATAGTTTGATAAGTAAATTATTTGCTTTTCCAAGAGGTGGATAATTCTAATACTAAACAAACTCTTATACAGAATGGAAAAAGAGAATATTTTCCATCTCATTCTGTGTGATTAGTTTAATCTTGGTAACAAAACCAGGTAAGGACAGTAATTAGGAATAAATATAAACCTTTTTCTTTCTTTCTTTCTTTCTTTCTTTCTTTCTTTCTTTCTTTCTTTCTTTCTTTCTTTCTTTTTCTTTTTCTTTTTTTTGAAACAGGGTTTTGCTTTGTAGTTCAAGCTGGCCTCAAACTTGTGGCAGTCCTCCTGCCTCAGCCTCCCAAGTGCTGGTATTGCAGTCATGTGCCACCACATCCATCCATAAAAACAAACTTTATAATTAAAATAACAATGAACCAAATCTGGCAACATTTTTAAAAGATAGTATACCGTCAGCAAGTTTTTGTAGTTGCACAAAGAGACTGACAAAATTTTACCCACATTCATGTTAATAACTCATTATTCTGAGAAGAGAAAGAAACCTTGTAAGCCTGGAAAAGAGTATCTGCCCAAACCCTAAAAGAGCTAAATGGAATTGTTGAAAGTGTTCCTTTTCATGTTAGGAACAAGGTAAGGATATATTCTTTAATGTTGCTTGTGTTCAGCATTTTACAGGTCAGAACTAGCATATAAGATAAAGAAATTAAAGCCCTAGGATCAAAAAAGAGAAAATAAAATGTATTTGTAGATAATATGCTGTTTTTAATCAAAACAAAACAGTCTATTGGTACATTTCAGAATAAATAATTATTTTAGCTGTGTATATATGGCCATAAAATCAATATTAAAAATCAAAAGCCTTTTAATTTACTATTA